CAGAGTCTCACTCTGTTGCCTGGGCTAGAGTGCCGTGCTGTCAGCCTAGCTCACAAGCAACCTCAAACTCCTGGGCTCAAGCGATCTTCCTGCTTCAGCCTCCCAAGTAACTGGGACTACAGGCATGCGCCACCATGCCCGGATAATTTTTTCTATTTTTAGTTGTTTGGCTAATTTCTTTCTATTTATAGTAGAGACGGGGTCTCGCTCTTGCTCAGGCTGATCTTGAACTCCTAAGCTCAAACGATCCTCCCACGTCAGCCTCCCAGAGTGCTAGGATTACAGGCGTGAGCCACCGTGCCTGGCCTAGTAGTAACAGACATTGACATGTTGCTAAGGGGAGGAGAGAAAAGCAAACTGAGTGCCTTCAGTTTCAGCCAGTGCAGTTTTCTTGTTTTAAGCATGACTTGATCTGCTCCGGCAGTACTCCTTGGGTTCTCTGAAGTGTTTGCTAGTTGTGAAATGGACTTTGAGGGACAGGATCCTGACTTTTAAAACACGCCCTACATTTCGTGTATTTTGCTGTTAAGTCCCCGTGTAGATTTAGCAGGGGAGCAGATCCTTTGAGCCATACCCTAGGAGGAAAGCTCAGGAATCTACTTTTTTTTTTTTTTTTTTGAGACAAAGTCTCGCTCTGTCTCCCTTGGGTAGAGTGCAGTGGTGTCATTATAGCTCACTGTAACCTCAAACTCCTGGGCTCAAGTGATCCTCCTGCTTCAGCCTCCCAAGTAGCTGGGACTACAGGCGTGCGCCATCACACCCAGCTAATTTTTCTATTTTTGTAGAGTCAGGGTCTCACTCTTGCTCAGGCTGGTCTCAAACTCCTGAGCTCAATCCTCCTGCCTCAGCCTCCCAGAATGGTAGGATTACACTGCACGTGGCTGGAATCTACATTTTAATAAACTTGTAAGAACCATTGATCCATCTTCCCCACTATAATTATCAGAAAATTCTTTCTTCTTGGCCTATGATGCCATCCTTGTAGCTTTTCTCTGCTGGTCCTTGAGTATTAGGTGAATCGCTTTTCCACAAGCCAACAATCCTTGTGTTGGTAGATTTCCATCCATACAGTACTTTTGTTAATTCCCCTGGAAAAGAGGCCTTTACACTGTAGGGTCAGGCCATTTTGCAGATGGGAAAATCAGGGCACAGATGGAGTCAAAAACCAGGCGAGGGGCAGGCAGGGGATGGGAAGGAACAGAGTTTGAGCTTCCAAACTGCCCTCAGCTCTAGGTGCTTGCCTCACCCTTGGGGATCCTCCTCCCCAAATGGGCTCAGCCATGCTGCCAGGATGTAAAACTCTTTCCTTTCTTTTCCCACACTGTTAATTAGGTTTCTTTATGATTGGGAGGTAGATTGGTTTCCTAGGGCTGCCATTACAAAATATCACAAATTGGGTGGCTTAAAACAATACAAATTTATCCTCTTGGCCGGGC